CGTTTTGAATAAAAAATTGAATATTTACAAACCTTCGTGATGCCCTCGATGAAAGCTCTGGTTGCAAGCTCGCCGGGGCCATCGACGGTTTTCCCATCATCGTCCGGCCCCCAGGAGGCACTGTAAATGTCGATATGCTGAGGATTCAGGCTCAGCGATCTCGCTTCAACCGCGTCTGTTACGTCTCCATCCAACATTCTCACTCCTGGGCAAAATAAACAAAAAGAGAAATGCTCTAGCGGGTCGCATTCACTGTTATGTAGAGTAGATGTACCATTTGTGACCACCTTAACAGTTTCCATACCATATAATAACGTGTAACTGATGAAAAAATAAGTATAAAGAAACGAAGAGTACATCGGTCTAGTTCTAAATATACAGGCAATCAAAATATTATAACATACACAAGGTTCAGAGCATAATAATTGAAGAATTTATTTAATTATCGCAGGAAACACGTTTGTCCCATTTGTGGACACTAATTTACTGTTGGATGATTAACTAACTTATCACTGTTAACATAGTTTACTCAGCGACAATCTATGTAAGCCACATCTATGTAAGTAAAAACAGTCTTACTCATCGTGACTTCTACTCATCCTATCTAGTTATATGAAAAATATTCTTGTACTAAATTCGTTTTATAAAAATATATGTGTAATTTGATGAACTATGAAAATAATATTAGAGAATTATTTATGTGTGGAGACCGTTCTATAGGTACATTAATATCGTTTTGATTTAATGGTAAATTTCTATTCTACTCACCTCCAACGCCGGCACCGAATGCAACTCCTACGGCGCACAGGGAATTGTTGGCAGTCGCGGCCACTTCGCCGGCGCATCTTGTGCCATGTCGATTACTGTCTAGGACGTCGTACCGCGGCATGGGATCTTCATCATGGTTATTGACATCATAACTCGCCTGTGGATCCTGCAACATTCACATTTCCTACAATTCATTTACTTTCATTTTGCACAGGTTTCAATAATTTAAACCACATCGCTCCCAAAGTTTCACCTAAGTGGGGCAAATTGTAGATTCCAAAATATTCGATGGACCAAAAAAAAGAGGTTTGTATCAAATCACCGGTAATTATTTCACTGACTATGTTTTAATCGATAACATTTGGCCGATATTGACCTCGCTGATAAAAGTAGTTCTGTTTATAGTGTTTGTTTCTCCGACTTCACTGACAATCTTTACAGCATATAGTGTGATCATATAATTCTTTCTTAATGTTCGTTACGTTCAGCTACTATTCTTACATAGTTCATATATTTTTGCGATTTAAGAACAGTTGATGTTTCAGCATTTTTTGTTATTAACATTCTGTTCGACTCAAAATCAGATAAGTTTGCAATCTGAAGTTGTTATTGCAATAATCGAAGTCTTAATCGAATTTATTTACTCTTGCATAGAAATATAAAAAAAATCTCTATAAATTCAGAATCGCGATTGATCTGTTATCGCGTGTCGCACCCATTGAGCTATATAAACTTCACCAAAGACCATAATTTCTTGACACATTTATATATAATGTGACATCGACAATCGCGTTTCGCCATATTTCCCCTCGTTAAGTTCCCCACTGTCTCTTTTCATCGCCGATCGACGAGATGTCTAATTAATACCGGTTGGACTACTTTCGCAATTACCGAATACAACTTGGACTCGATTCCACCAAAGTTTCCCAGGAGAATATCGATCCCTCCCCCCTTGAATCTAATGTAATTGCTCTTTCCTCCGGGCAGTTTACGGGATTGTTTTAAAGTTTCCTATCTTCGATACGAACTTTATTTCAAATAAAAAGAATACATACTTCGGTCTCAAGCGCCGGTCCATAGAACACTATTAATTATCGCGACCAAATTAACTACACAAAAATTGGACTTTCATACGCCGTTTGTTTATTTGCGAATCGCGTCAATCGTGGCCCCGGAAGTTCCACATCTCATTTAGATCAGTATCAAGGGTCACGTACCGTGTCTGATTACTACCGAGTTCTGTGTGCACCTACTACGAGATTATAGAGCTCGATACACATTTCTCTGCGGTTGCCTTATTAACCCCGGCCCATTCGCTAGTAAACATACTCCAGGTCGTGTGCGGTTCAAGACCACTGTTTGACCCCGTGGCCGCTGCCCTGGCCTCGCTGCTAACTCGCAACAATTTCCGTATCGCGAACACGGAACTGTTTCTTGCAACCACCGAACGAGAGCGAACTCGTCTCTGCCGGTAACTTTACAATGTAACCTTCTAGCCTAACATGCGTTTCTTTACGACAGTTTCACGCTGTTTCACGACGTAAAACGTCGTTTAACTCGCAACAACCATGAAACCCGAAATTAGGAACGTTTAGTACGATAGGAGTTCCTAAATAAACCAATATAGTTTTTGGCACGGTTTCTTCGGACACCCTTCCGTATTTCGAAGTTCGGTCCGCTGTTCTCTTATCATGTACGCTGAGCAGGAAACGTCGATCGTTGTGCAAAGTGGAACGGATCCTGATAAATTGCTGCGCTTTGTTAGTATTCGCGAATACTCAGATGAACGAAGTTTGCAAGAAATTGAGGTTGTACATACGAGCCCTTAACACATTGTTGTCAGGTTGCGTACTTTCACGTTTTTTGCGATCCGTCACTTGAACTCAGGTCACGTAAAAGTATGTACCTATTTAGTAGACTTGCGGTGGAGAGCGGGAGGCGTTTGTGGCGCAATGTACTTGAATGTACCTGCATATATTATGTTACATAAAAACAATGACAAAGCATTCAAATTTTAAGTTATTAGTCGACTGCGGATTTTATGCATTTATGAGAATTTTAAATAATTTGAGGAAACAAAGTGTGCAGTAATGTGTACCTAAATACAAAATATCCGAAATCAATTACAATTTATCTTATCGATCTTTCTCCCCTGCGCCTACAATAAATATGAGAGAAATCAAATATTATTAATATTATTTCCACGACCTATCTAAGAATTTGAAAATGAGCACTATTGCTCCTAGCCAATGAAGAAGAGTTCATTATTATCTAATTGAAGCAAATAGTACTTACATAGTTCTTTGACAGATCTGGATGATCCATTTCCAATCCATCGTCAAGTATCGTGACCACGATCCCACGTCCCGTAATTCCTTCGGCCCAGGCTTCTTGCACGTTCATGTCTAATCCCTTTCCTCTATTCTGAAACAAATCATTGATATCCCTCTTTACAAACAGTCCAATCTACAATTTAATTAAACGCAGTAGAATTGAATATCAATTCAGGTTCAATTAAATGGTACATTAAAATTTGTCATTGATCTGACAAATCGATGAAACGAATTAATCTCAGCTTGTGCACCGTTCCATCTCGTCAAAATAAAATCTTTGTTATAATATTATAGAGAGGTCTTCAGTTAGACAGCTTCGGATAAAAATTGATACATACATGTGAGCTTATGTTAAAGAAAGGAATTTTGATGAAGATCCGAGATTGCATTTTCTTTTAAGCAATAGACAATTTTATAATTCCAATAATTTTGATTACATTTCAACTTAGGCAATTTAAAGACATAAATATACAATATGATTTTTTTAAATTCTTGTTGTGTCCGTTTCTTTATATTTTATCCTATAAGTCAATATATGTATAAATAAATAAAAGAACAATAAACATACACTGCTCTTCATTTGAATACCCTCGGGTAAAAACGTATAAGAAATATTTGTAACAATTCTACATTTCATCATTCTACATATCTAAATTATATATATTTACATATTTATGTTATTTTATTCACGTTACATACAATTTCCTACGAAAAAATAATATGGGCTATTCGAGCCTATCCAAATGAATAGCACTGTATATTACTGATTTTATGTTTTAAGAGAAAGAAGATAAATTCATGTTAGCATACTGTAAAAGGTTTAATCAAATTGTTTATGCATAATTGACAGGGTTAAAAAAGAATTTCGGTTGTGTGAGTAGTCGGAAGGAGTGTTTAAGTACAGGATATTAACAATATACAAAGTGAATGTATATTAAAGAGAAATAAAGTATATTATTTTGTTTACTGTTTATTAAGATTCAGAGGAATGTATGATGGATAAATAATGAAGTGTAAAATGAAACTTTAGTATGTAAAGATGTGCAGCGATGAATGATTGAGTATATTCAAGGTGCAAATCAAGTCCCATTTTTTAGCTCATAACGCTAGAATTACAAGATATTACTTAGATTTATTTAGATTATTACTTAGATTTATAGGTATTACTTACATTTTATTACATGTTCATGTTATTACTTTATTATTTTGTTTCTTTATTTTATTATTTCACTTTATGTTTTATTATACTCATATTCATTTTGTTTACATATCTACGTTACTTCATTTATATTAAATACAATTTCCTTCGAAAGAGTAATAGCTATCCGAAGCTATCCAATTGAGCAGCACTGCATATTATTGATTTTATTAGTTTCTAGTTTAATATCAGCATATTTCAATGATTGATGCAACAGCACAGAGAGAAATTGTACTAACCAGATACCACATTTGGGGCCACATCTCATCGTTAAGCACGGTCCTCAGGTTGGATGGACCGCGTTTGATGATCAGGTCCCGTTTTGTTCGCAGTTTCACCCGCTGCTGTTCCGCGCGACGCACTCTGCGGTCCTGCATCAGCCTCCCGTGGACACCGAGATGCGGTTCAGCAGATCTCTTCACCACGGTCATGTGCACCATATGGTACCAGTCGTCGACTATCTGTAACAAAGAACACAATTCCCGTATTAATATCGCGTCGTATCCAAGTCTTTGTCCGCGTTAAAATCGTGCAATATTCTGGACAACGCGTTCCGTTTAATGTATCAGGTAACAAACGTATGTTAATGTGGGATAGGAACACCGGGTCGTTGCTGAATTGCGGCTGGCTGTTCCAATGCAAGACATATACATACGTATAATTTGCCTTTTACGTATTCCACAGACAGTGTATATATTTCACGAGAGAACTCACGAGAGAACTCGCTCCACGCATTGAAATAATATTTATCGAGATTCCTTGCTCGGCTCTAACTCTCGTTAAACCGATTAAATAAGCTGTAAACGTCTGTTAATTTCCATTGACGGGTAATACGATTTTCATTAGCTTGTTGCTCTTCAGAAATTAGTATAATCCTCTATATAAATATCCAACATGGAAACCAATTTTGTTAATCCATTAGGTTAATTTGTATGGAACGTAGCAGTAGTCAAGTTTGTTATATTTGAATGTCTGAATGATTTACTTCTTTGAAAAATTATTGCTGGAAAGAGAAGATGTAGCATTGCCAGATTTTCATTAAGACCGATGTATTCATCATTTTCTCGAATCGGGGAAAAAATTTCCGTAGCTCGTACAGCAAGATTATTTGATGCATAAGTTTGTTCCCCGGAACGGTGATACACAAAAGTAAAAGATATATGATGCAGCGCGATGATAAATGCGAAAAGTTGGCAACAGCTGCTACAGGCAAGCTTCTTATCGCTTGTTTCTTTTTACCCCGTGACAACTCCCACTTCATTTTTTCTTTCCCAACCCTGCCTAAGCTTCTCGCTCGTTCGCACTCCGCACAGTACGGAATTTTATGACAAAATTCGGTATTTGTACATGTTGCTATAAACAGTACATTAGCTTTCGCAAAAAATGCATTTTAGGATGAAAATTGTTATTAACAATCATACATAAAAAATGATTATGCATAACGCAATTATATAATAATAATAATAATGTATTAATAATTTTTATGCATTTTCTGTGATGTAAGTGGAACTATATTATTATCTTACGTATAAAGGAGTGGTGTGATAAAGTAATATCTGATTTATTAGAAACCGAACGTTCCGGCTTTGTTTTTCGAGTTTCTTATTTATTTCATACTAAACAGATGTAGAATTTCATAATAATGAAAAGTATCGAAAAAGGTACATGTATTTTCTGTTACACTTATTGAAAACAAGCTTATTTCGTGCCAGTTTTTTTATTTATTATATTACGATATAAAATTTTAAACTAACATAAAAGAACAAGCAGCAAAAGATGTTATGAGATTGTGAATTTGACTACATTAGTTTCTATATTTTAAAAATTTCATAGTCCTTTTTGCAACTAACTCCAACCTTTGATTTGACAAAGTAGATTAAAGTAGGGTAGTCATGTGACTTTTCAGTAAAATTTTGTCATTTTTTGCTCTGTTTTATCGATAATCAGGCGAAAAAAGTTCTAAATATGGTTAAAATTTCTGACGTTTTTTAGGTGGGTTAGCTGGGTTAGAGTTCTAAAAAAAACTCTGACGTAGTGTATGGATTTGAAATAAAAAGTTGAAAAAATACAAAATATTTTACTTGAGTAAAGAGACGTTTAAATATTAGTACATGCTCTACAGATACTGCTAAAAAGCTTCAAGAAATGCAGTTTATCCACATTGTGGTCCACGATGAGAATTCTCATTCTCGCACGTTTTAGAAATAATACATTACTATAAATTTCGTTAATATATTTCACAATTTAATTCAAACTGCATGACAATGAGATTGATTTGATACACAGTCTATTACACATAATAATTAATTACACGGAAAAGTCAAATGATACTGATTTTTTGAATAAGTTAATACATTAAAACCGACGATTTAAGAAGTACTGCGAGGCCGGCAAAAACCTTTTAGTCTTTTCAATTTTTTTTCTTTTTTCCGTCCGGCTTCCATTATACGCTTCTTGGTTTTCGCGATGTCAACGTCGGAACAATACTTTTTCGGGCAGGAACTTTTCACGAATTTGGCCATTTTACGATGTATTGGACTCATTTTCGGTTGCTTGACCTCATCCACGGCGTGACGATCGCCGCGCTTCATCTCGACTACCGCAGGCGGACGCGGATCCAAGCAATCCTTCGATTTGAACACCTTCAACCGATACGGGTATGTCTGCTTCATCCATTCGCCGCTTCCCTTGTAATACTTCTTCTTCTTCCGTCGCGGCAAAAAACATCCCCGTGACGGTTTCACAGTTTTAATTTCTGTCTCCGGTTTCTGGCGATCGCATATCTTCCATGCCTTCAACACCGCAGGACATTTGCTCAAACGATACTTGAGACTAGACACGTTCGGCTTCGAGTCGCTCACGTCGTCGAGTTCGAACGTTTTTTCTTTTTTACTCGCCGAGGCGGAAGGTAACTGCGCGTACTTCTCGTCGGTTTCCTCAAACGAGACGACGCACTTGACGTGCGGCGACGTTGGGGTGCCGTCCCGTCGCGTGGGCATACAAGTCTTCCACGAAAACTTGTGAGTGTCATCCCTGGCCTGACACTTAGAACCAGTCACGTACTTCGTAGGCGAATAATTCGTGGGTGTGGGAACCTGCGTGCGCGTTTCAGACTTCGAACTCTCGTACGGGACGTATACCATGGTTTCAGGCTTGTTACACGGGCAACGTCTTCTGCGCCGTTGACATTTGGACATTCTTTCGGACCAATGTTCGGACTTCGGTGGCGGCGGGTCGGGCCTCGTTTCCAATGACTGCGGAACGTTTAATAAATCCGGATGCTGGATCTCGGCGCACCTACTCTTCGATAATTTCATATACTTCGCGGTCTCCGCTTTGCACTTCTTGATCGCGCTACCGCCGCACTTTCGCACGTATGAAATTAATTTATTCATTTTCATATATTCACTCTTCGAAGGCGTGTCAGTCGCCTTACGTTTTTTAGGCAACTTCTTGCCGCCTGAATCGTGCGTGCGAGCCGTCGGGGCTTGAGCTTCACATTGCTTGGAGTCCTCTGAACTTTTCTTGCATTCCACTGATTTAGTTTCGGGCTTCCCTTGCTGTTCGACGTACGACGGGTCGGTCTTTTGCATCAAATGTTGATGATCCACCTGAGAATCTTGCGCGTCGTATTGATAGTTGTACTCATGGGGTTGTTCATAAGCGTACTCGGACGTTTGTGAGCATTCTTGTCGAGCAGGTTCTTGATAATTGGTGCAAGCTTGAGGTTCAGGTGCTTGAGGGATCTCGGGTTCCGCAGGTATCTCATAATCAGATTCCTCGATCTGTGTGTTCTCCTTTGAATCTCTCTTAATAAGCTTGAAGTGAACTTTTCGGTTTGGGCAACAGAGTAGGCGAGCGTCGCTGAATATTTTCTGATGGGATAATCTTTTGCATAAGATGTGAGTGTAGAATCCTGTGTCACGTGATATAATTATTTTTCTTGTCGGCTGGATATTCTGATAGTATGCGACAAGATTGAGTTGCCTGTTCGGAACAATTCTGAATTTGTCCGGTATTATGATCACGGGTAATCGGGTATTCAGGATAGAACTGGCCACATTTCGTACATAGCATTTTTGGTATTTAAATAATTGTAATGGTAGCCCATTACTGCAAATGTTCTTCAATCTTCTCAATTCATCGGCGTGTAGATGGACCTCGTGCGACTTTTTAATCTTGTACAGCGATTTTGCTTTCGAGGATACCTGTTATGAATAATAAATGGAATGTTAAAGCGTGATAATATATTATGATATTGACTGTTTAATCAATTGAAGCTTTTGAGAGTATCTATCAGTAATGAATAATAAACAGGAATGTTAAACATGATAATGAATCATAATATCGATTTAATTAATGAAAGCAGTGATTGAAGTAATTACATACATTCGTGAACAGGTAGAGAGAATAGGTATCAATGAGATTTACTCGAATTTATATTATTGTAATAAACTCGATTTTTATTTATTCTGTATGCTTACACGCTCAATTAGTCAAAATTTCAAACTAATATTTACATTCTTATGTAAGCAAAGTACATTTAAAGTATGAGCCATTAGATCTCTGCCAGAAGTTCAAGAAATGTAATAAAAAGCTATGTATAATATTTGAAGCAAATTTTTAGGAAAAATTATATTAATTCAGAAGTAAAAATTGTACGACGTGTTTTTTTTTTAAATTATAAACAATCTTTAACATACAATTTCTAATATTCTAATATATGATTTTAACAATTTTTGATAAGATTGGACTTAACTTTCAAGTGTGTACATTGACAAGTCCTGGTTTTTTCTTTGCTTATTTTTCATCGTGTCTGTATCTTGATTAATATCCTCGAAGTTGATATTATTTCAACTTTAAAATAGTCTTAAAAAATTTTCAATTATTCAAATATTCTCATTGTTGAATCTGTATTCTTACATAAATGGAATCAAAATTTTGTTGTTTAAAATAATACTACAAGATGTTATAATTTTTTCAATAGCCTCACAAAATTTCTAAAATTTTTTATGTAATATTTAATAACAATTAAAATTTGAATTCTAACATTGTCTTTATTTCATGGCTAATACAACTTTAAGAGGTTCCCAGAAAATTATGTATGTATTTATATTTGTTTTTTGTTGATGTACGCAATTATTTTTTTTATAAAGGTACGGAACTCCGTCTTTGTAATTCCGAGAGGGAGAGCAATAAAGGCTTTACTATGAAATAAATCAATTTATAAAGAAAATTGTCGTCCTGCTTTTGTACCAACCGTTTCTTTAACAGGCTCGTAAAATTTCTACAATTTAACTAGTAACTGTTAAAAGTTGAATGTTTTATCATTGATTTTATTTAAGGGCTCATACAACTTTAACGAAATAATCAGCTACTTATTTAGAGACAAAAATAAGTGGACGCCTGGGAATATAACGTTAGTGGGGAGCAAGAAATGTCGACAATCTTTACAAATTGGTCATGTTTATACCCAATAATCCCAAACAAATCTATCAGTAGCAAGCTCCATGAAAGTAATTGCCTGTTAAATATTTGAAAAATGTCAAAAACAAAAGAAACTACGGACAAGTATATCGACACTATAAATAAAAATTAAAAAATAGCAGGGATAAAGATGGATCTCGACAGTAGATTGACATTTTTTAATGATTCGAATATTCAGTTGGTCTACCCAAAGTCGTGTCTTGAATCCAACAGAAAATTTATAGAGTTTATTGGATACATAAGTACCATTAAATAAGAGAAACAATAAATCCGAAATTTGCTGAAATTAGCAGTTGGAATTTGAAAATATCGAGAAAGTTTATATAGAAAGTCTAATAACCAGCATTCCCAGACAGTTAAAAACTGTAATCCAACCAAAAGACGACAGTACAAAGTATTCATTTTACTGTATGCTTTATTTGTCATGCTATTTAGCATGCGTACATTTCTTTTAGTCTCTCGACGAATAGTTTACTTTGTTAAATGTGAATTGTGACCATAAAAATGTAAATGTTAGTTTGAACTTTTGACTAAATTATCTATGTATTATAAGGCTAGAGGATAAGTAAAACTGAAGTTTATAACGAACATGTGAATTGTTTCTCTCCCTGTCAATTTATTCTTGTACCTGATTGTAAATGTAAGACAATTATGCACGAGAAATTGCAGTTAATTTGGTTGTAAAATGTCCTCTAGATTCGACTTGGGAGAGACATCGTAAAATCTGAATCTAGCAATGGATTGAGAATTTTCTACGATTTCACTTGACTGGAGGAAGAAGGAAACAAAAGTCCAATCGGATTGATCACTTTGCATAAAGAGCGAACGAAGCCCGTCGATATTTCCAACGGAATAAAATGTTTTATTAAAAAGCGTCGACGTACGACGGAATGTCTTTGATCGTCTTTCGAACAGCGGCGATATTGTTCGGGAGGAGAAGAAAAAAGATATCCATCCTTAATTGCGAAGCTTTCTCCGACAGTTGCGACGGATTATTTGCGAACAGTAGATACCGTGGCAAATCTAGATGTCTTTTGGCGTGCTCTTTGACACGAAGGACAGCTTTACCTTTCGCAATAGAAGACCCAACATTTCCTGCAAGTAGCTGTCGATGCACTATCTTACGTTCGAGATCTCACATTTTCTTCTTCCGTTCTTAGTCCCGTTATGAATCACGATTGCTCCTTTAGTTTATTCGCTTGCCGTTTTTCATTATTAGAACATTTAATCCTAGAGAATACTTAAGAGATCCTTGAGGTTAATTGCTCGTCACGGATTCTTTCTCCAATTAATGTTTCCTTCGCTCACAATAAAGTTCACAAGCTTGGTTCCACTTTATGTTGATTTACACTGAGAATTTAATTTTGAGAATTTAATTATGTAGACATAATGGTTTGTAGTCTATAGTTGAACGATCACTGAAATTTCATTGCTGTCATAATAGGTCTAAATCCGTGGTCTAAATCAGTCTAAATAGTAAAATGGTTCTGTTCGCTCACACCTTCAAGCTGCTGAAACTGCGATCATCTTTTGTTGTTTCGAACTCATTACCAACAATATCATTTTAGTATCACAACGGATGCGATCGTTCCATAGAAATTGGTAGTTAGAGTCAGCTTAATTATATTTTCCGGGGCGGCCATCAGGAGATTCAGCGATACCAAATCGGATTCATTAGCGGCAGCTTAGTACGCGGAAAGTCGTGCGTGAATGGGTGATTGCTGGATTCGCAATTAATTAAGTGAAGCTTTGGCAACACGAATCTTCCCCGAAACCGAAACTCCGAAAGGGCGTTTCGAAACTTGCCGAAATCCTCCAGGGGTGTATTTCTACGAGTATCTGCGACCATTTACTCAGAGTGCATCTAATTAAAACGTTTTAAACGATTGCGACGATCGATCAAGATTCGCAGCAGTGGTTTACGAAAGCATTCGAACGCTTACATTTGCAAACTTCACGAAATAATGTATATTAAATTAATTAGTTTTAAAACAATTCAGTGAAAACCTTTTTTGTCTTTTTTAATATGTATGATAAAGTTTTGAATAATGGAGTCTAAGGCTTGTGGATGGTTATGTTCATTTCTTCATTACGGAGGGCAACGTGATATTGATGAAACGGGGAAGGGAACGTAATTTTCCGCGTAAATGGCGAACAGTGTCCAAGTGAATTCTAGCGGCGCGGGGGATCATTGTCAAGTCCGACGTTCATTCCAGCTTACGGTCCAACGGACCAATCGATCACGATTTCAACGGTGGGTAAAGGGAGCGGGATGCATCAAATATGATTTACCGGGAAGAGGGAGGCTTCGTCTCTCATGGCTCGCATGGCTTACGCGATTTACGGATCCGTGCGAAAGCATTGATTGCCGGATTTTGGATCGCCAGGAGGCGCGCCAGGGCCGGCAGAAATTGTGGAAGGTCACGAAGGGATAATGCCGTGATGGACCGAGAGAGCACCAGCGGCCCCGCCCTTTCTGGGGTAATTCCATAAAGCGAATTCCCGTGGCAAATCCGTGGCGAAAACTCAATCCCTGACGCGATGAAACCGAGCTTCTTTCGAAATTAGAGAAAGAGCTCAGTGATGCCGCGGAAGGAGAGTGAAAGTAAACGGTAGGATGGTTTTCTCGTGGATTTTAAAAAGAGGTAATGGTTCAAGTGGGAAAGAGGAGTTTTAAGATAGATATGGTTACGCAGATTGTCTCGGATCTCTCGAGAATGGAAATTGGAAGGGAAATTGTGGCTCGTTGTTGAAACATTCACGAGTCTGTCTCGAGCAGCAGTCCTGGTGTTTTCTTGTGATTGCCAAAGCGGATTAATGCAGTAGGGTAGTGAAATTTCAACGGGCTGATTGTAATTGCATATTTACTTCACCATTACATTCGAGCAATAGTTCATGCGCAGTATTTTCACTCGTTTTTATTAATTACTAATAACTCGTAATTTATTGCTTAATAAAATTAATAAAAATTTCTAATACTTTCTTCCTTCGTAGTGTTTAAATCTATAGAATTGAAGTTACACAAAAGTTAGGACGACAAGTACTATGAAAATTGTTCAATAGGTATGCAATAACGCAGCTAATTGTAACAGTCAATCACACGTCCTTTCATGCTATTGTCCTAACTTATTTAATTATTTCGCGTTAAAACGGGGTTACGCGCGTTAAAGGGAAGTTACGGAATATTGCAAAAGTGAAAATGAATTTTGAATATAAAATGTCTGAATTGAGAATTGAATTCTGAATAGAGGAAAAATATTCCTCAATAACGATAAATATTAATTAGTGTATAAAAAAATATTACGATTAAATATCAAATAAATCTGTAAGATGTAAAAAGCAATAAATTCAATAACGATGACGCATTGCAAATTAGTTTATACAACATTCATTAAATAATACAAGAATTATGATTTACTCAGTGGAAAATGATTTGTGTAAAAATTTTTGTTTTTTGCTAATCTATCAGCTTATGTTATTACATCATAGAATCCTTTCCTTATTCAATTCTTCAAATCTACTACACATAATGCGCGTTCGGACAAAACAGTGAATAACTACCAATCGGGCATTTTCAACTTTAAAATCAGTTTTTTATTCACAAGGATTAACTTTTCATTGCATGAAAATCACTCCATCTTCTTATATTTCCACTATGTGCGATTCGACAAAAGGAAGCATTATTTCGACATTCCCATGTTTCCGATCTATCGTCACCGGGCAGTTCGGTTTGGATCACCTTCATGTTCAGACACTTTACGTTTTCGGACTAGCGACCTTTTTTCGATCATTTATTTGTACTCAGCCTTTATTTTATATTTTGTATTACGGTTTTGCGAGCACGAAGGATTCAATGAGAGCCAGCGGCGAGGATGTTGACCCAGTACGCGTACATCAAACCGAGATACCAGTTCGGAAAACAATGCATCTTCTCCGATGCCTTCGTGGCTATTGAGGACATTTATCCGAACCCGGAGTTCCCGCAAGATTATGTTCTCAAAGCGCATTGTCATCGCGGGACCTCGATGCAAAAGCAATATGCTCTCCACGAGGTAAGAGCCAACAAAATCAAATATCTAACCTTTGACTTCGACAATTATCATTTAGGTTACATTTCAATCGACATTGTAGGATATTCTATTAGAGATGAATTTAAGAAAAGTGACCAATTGAGAAAAGCAATTTCTTTTGAATTCCAAGAAATGTATGAGATGCAAGTGTGTTATGTATTGTTTTAGGTTCAGACAGAAAGGAAGATTACCACGAGCACCGGAATAATGCACTCTGAGGGTGGCTGGCCAAGAGAGATTAATCCGAAGGATGCTGAACTTGTTCAAAGATTTCGCAGACGCATGGAGAAAGATGATAACTGGCCTATAATCATGAGAGGCCTGCTCCCAGTGAGTTTCAGAAACGCTCAAGGTATGATGCGCATTAATACATGTCTATCAAATTTTCTATAGACAGTGGAGCGTTACGTGCTTCAAAATAATGCAGTCAACATCTACCAAAATTTCTTCGATGACCTAATTCCGACACACATGGGAAAACATTATAATCTCAGGTACACTTCCTTTCCTCATTCTTTCGTTAGTTTAATTTTGAAATGACCATGGAATATAGTATTATTAAAATGTGTTCGTAGTTTCGTAGTAATAATACATAAATTTTTCACAATAAACAATTTCCAACAGACAATTATTAATTCGAGAGTATTCCAGTAATTATTAATTTTCAGTCCTCATAGTAAAATACTTTTTTTATTCAAAATTTTATGTTTCATTAAATCTCGATAAAAATTATTGGATATTCTGTTTAAAAAAACGGAGAAAAAAGCAAAGAAACGGAAAACAGGAACAATGGATACCTCTTTGGAAGAATATTTAAAAATTGTTGTCATACAATAAATAGCTTCTTAAAATACAAGTCAATTAAAGTCGACATGTTACGAGATTCACCTTATTTGACAAAGTAAATTACGATGTAAAAGACGAAGGTATGTCTACCTTGTATGACGGTCGGGCACAAAGTGCCGTGCTTTACAAAGGTTCGACATCACCGCCTGAAAGCTAGAAAAATCTCAAAAGTAGGAACTAACGAAGTGTCTCGGACCCTCGAGAACGAAGAGAAAACCGTGCCTGCAAAACGCTTCGACTCTTCGTCTCGAGGACTGCACAAAGGCATCACCTGAGAGCGCACGGAAAATCCGTTAAACGTTAAACCTAGTCTACTGCCACGTAACCCAAAAATCCTTTGCATTTCTTCGTTTTCCCCTCGTATTTAATTTTAATTATTCAGGGTCACGAACTTGTACGAGGATCCGGAGACGAAGATCAGGCCCGTGAGGCATTTGTCGTGGTCGCCGAATCAGGCGCAACGACTGGCCGTTGCATACGGTTTCATGGAATTTGAAGAGCATCCGAACGACGTGAGCCCGTACTCCTACGTATGGGACATCGGTACTCGGCTATTCCTTACGTTATCCGATGAGGAGCCGCGGCACGATCGACGTTATTTGCCCCACGGCGCGGCGCCTCGAACCGGGACGGTATTCCATCGATTCGATTCCGCGAATGCTCGATTCCGGGAGATATTTCGCGTCTCTTCACCGAACCGGACAGAACTCAGACCAGCTAGACTTCGTTTCCCAGAAACTTTTTCTTTCACTCTATATTCATTTTGATCGCATCTACGTATGAAATAACTTGCAAAAAAGAACATTTTTGAATTTAGGAATTCAAATGTTTATGTTCTTTCTGAACAAAGTATGATTGATGTATTATATTTTTATTAGACTAAAGTAAGCAAAGTAGTGTCTAATAAACTTTTAACCAAGTATAACTTCTACACCGACGAATTCCGACTATCAGGACTTCATATTTTGTTCTTTTTCATCGATTACAATCAGATTCAATCTATTTTTGTGGTCCCTCCATGTCGTGAATTTGACGTGATGAATTAACAGCTTACAAAATATATCCGACATTAAATTAATGTCATACTACATAATAGAAAATATATTAAAATTTCGACATATTTATCGCTTAATGACTTTTCAATGAATGAATTCCTAAACTGAAAATTGATCTTATGCAAGTCATTTCATACGGTTCAAATAAATTTTTAGTAAAAAAGATAGATTAAACAAAAAAATTCTGCTCATCACGTTGATCGAGAAATATAATATTAATTATTTTTTTTAATATCATTTTCATGTTTAGTTGTGTATTTTTTAATATCATTTTGATGTTTCACATCAGTTTATATTTGTAAAACTCACAAGTTGACGTACGAGGTAATTATGTATAAAATAACGAATTGATCTTATGCAGGGAATCCCAACAAAGCTCTCCTAAAGTTGAAATCGAGCTCACCCTTAATGACAATCGAATATAATACCCGTGATCCTGTATTGTTGGTCAGCGGTCTCACATCAGGTCAAGTATGTTGCTGGGACATTCGAGCGAGCGACGAACCCGTGCACATATCTCACCCCTACGTCAGTCACAAGTACTTAATTCCAATTACCAATAACTTATTTATCACATAATGTTCGAAACGCGCAAGTCATAAATCCTGGCAATATTGCGTTTGATACCCAATTAACTAAAAAACTGCTCTTCTTGTTTTCCTTGCGACTCAATCCTCTAACGAGACACATAAAGAACTCTAAATTACAAATTGCAGTTCGCAATTTCCTCTAACGAGCTGGAAATGGCATCGTGAATTTCCGTGCCATTCCAAAAAGTAAAATCGATTTTGCCACAATTCGCTTCCCAGACACCCAGCGATTCAAACCCTGTGGATCCCGTCGAAATCCAATACCGATTTCTTCTCGTCATCCACGGATGGTACGGTTTTATGGTGGGACGTCAGATTTATGAAAAAGCCGACGGAGACGTTGGTGATGGACCTGGAGCACCCGGAGAGGGCGGACGCTTTCCGTGGTGCTGGAGTCACGGCGCTTCAATACGAGCCGACTATGAGCAGCAAGTTCCTCGCCGGGACCGAGAACGGTCTGGTCGTGAACGTCAATAGAAGAACTCTGAATCCGTTGGAAAAACTCGCCCTCAGATTCCATTGCTACACCGGGCCTGTGGTCGCCATCGATAGAAATCCCCTTTATACGAAGAACTTCTTAACTATCGGCGACTGGTCCGCCAAGATATGGGCGGACGACACTAAGGAAGGATGCTTCCTCACTACTAGGTAATAGTCGTTTTAATTGTTTATTTCATGTCTTGGAAGGGGTGGTAAAATTGGTGATAGTATATTTACAATACACTTACAGTTAAGAGCAAAACTGAACACGCGCTATTTAAAATTGAATAACTCTTGTAAAATTGGGCCAAACAACCTGAGTTCCTTTGAGTAGTCAAGAGATTGCGAAAAAATTGAAATTAAGTAAAAAGATAAGGAAAAATGTGAAGGTTGCGTTTTTCAACATTTTTATCCGGGATTATAATGATAATTTAATTAACATATTTTGATTATTTATATGAAATTATTATATACTGAAAATTTTATTTTAGATTTGTTTGCGTTTAGAGTTCATTTTTTTCCATTCCTACCATTATTCCTCCTGCATGTGTCATTCTCGTAGTTTCTTCTAAGTATGCTATAAATATTTTAAACACTATAGGGCTTAGAGGGCAACCTTGCCTGAATCATCCTTAATACTAATCCTTAATACTAATCTAAATTATTTCTTAAAAGTCTTTATTACGCTCCCTCTTTTTGTACAATTTAAAGTCTGGCAACATCTGAAGGATTTCAACGGAAGCGGATGACAGATGCAATGTGGAATTTTTTTGTGTATAGCGAGAAGAATATCGATCTAAGCGGTGGGTGTTGGAGTAAATCCAGGTGCTCCGTGTTTTTTGTGATAAACCGGGATGGACTGTTGGAGGCGTACGACATACTGGCTGGTATGAAGAACCCGTTGACTACCATCCGCATTTGCAGAGACAGCTTAACGGCGATTAAGTCCCACGAGCACGGCGAATTTCTCGCCGTTGGAAGTGATAACGGCAACGTTTACTTGTTGGAGTGCTCCGACGACTTCTCCTCGTTCTCGAAAGACGATAGAGCCGCTTTAAGTAACGTAAGACATCTCCTTACAAAGACTCGGCCACTTGTTATTTGTTGAAATTAATCGCGCTTCAACTGAGAAGAGCATCTGTTCTGACATTCTTTTTAACAACGTTCAAACTTTTCTCTATTTAAAATCAATAATTATTCTCGTCACAAAATTATTGCTACAAGTTTACGTTTTTCGACGTAATGCAATTAATTAACCACCTAATGCACTCGAAATAAATATACTTAAACAGCGAACGTTCTGATTAAGACAGCGCGATGCGACGTTCCTCCGTGAACCTCGCTGTCTCGTTTCGTCGTCGTTTCGCGTGAAATTAGGTCGGCCAGATTTCGCGCGATGAATTTAACCGGGAACGAGAACCAGAAATTGAATTTCTCGGTTTGCCGGTCGAGAGATTCGTTCCTACAGTGAAAACTGCTATTCGTCCACTTTGCCGTTCGGTTTCTCGCCGCAGTACCTGGAGAGATGTAGCCGATACGAGAAGGCAATCGACACACGACTGAAGGAGATACGCCTGATGCAAACCACCGACGTACAAGTGTCGTTCTCCCGCGCGGTAAAGTCCAAGAGGAAGGAGGCGAGGGACAAGAAGCAGGCGAGGGACAAGGAGTCGAAGGATCTGAGGAGCAAAGAGAAGAGCTTGGAAAAGGAAAGGAGGGACAGCCGGAAGCGGTCCGGAAGAATCCCGCGGCAGAAGGGAAAGGTTTCCGCCAAAATGAGCTCTCCCGAACTCCTCGAAGCTGAGGCGTTTTATTTCAAGAAGATAGAGGAGGTAAGTCAATGTATCCTATGTCACGATATGGTGTCCACGATTATTATAGCACAGCTGATTTTAGTCTTGTCACAATATTGCTTCTAAGTAAACTACTGTGAGCAAAATTTCTATGAGGGCGATATGGTTTTTCGACAAAAAATTAAAGAATTTTTTAATATAACTGAAAGCGTGCTAGGAAATAAGTAAATAATTGCAGAAAATAGAAAATTTAGATATAGAAGTGAAGTAAATTGTTTTATTTTTTGATAACTCCAAAATATTGTAATTTAACGCAGAACAATAATAGGACGAAATTTCTATAAGGCCAGTCTTTTCCTTTTATTTGGATTTTCGAATTTAAATTAAATATTAAAATTTAATAAACATTCATAACTTCAAATATTCTATTTTTCATACTTATAACTAATTATTGGAATGTGTGGAGATCGATAATTCACTGGTTGAGTGTGAGTATGAGTTTATTATATCAGTTGCTTCTAGAACAATCGTGAGCGTGTGAAGAAGAAATCTAAGACGAGAGATCTAGGAGTAAAATAAATGTGTGATTTAAATAGGAAGTATAGTGTTCATTTAAAGCCAAATAACCACCACTGCGGAACAAAACGTTTATTCTTCGATTTTATTCCATTCGTATCTTATTGCGGTTGCTAATTCATCAATATTGTCGTATCGCCTCCCATTTTTATAAATTGTACGTGATAAAATTTCCCACGGATCCTCAACTGAGTACAGATGGGCGACCGTGTTAGTCAGTTCATAAGTGGCAAACTGTTGAAACCAACTTTAAGTTTTCGTAGCATTATGTATTGGTGCATTATCTTGCTGGGACATTACGTTGTCTTGACGATTTTGTTCAATGAACCAAATTAAGATATACTTTAACAAGTCAATATATTTGTCTGCATTCATACAGTTCAGCATATATTAGTGTTTTAGAATTATAGGTAAATTCTGTTCGTTCCATCAGCGTCGCGGCAGAGAATACAAAGCTTCATCGATGGGTGCAAGAAAAACTATACATTTCCATTTAAAAAATAGTGATGGCCTTGAAATCTCCTCAGCACCTCCACTTGAAGAGAAGTTAGGCACACCACGTAATAGGCATTTCGAAACCAAACAACTTTTGTCTGAGATATTTTTTCCTATCTCAAAAGTGTAGAAGTTATTCAGATGGTTTGTTTTAGGTGAATCACCCTGTATACTTGTGAAATGAATGAACTTCTTCATGATGTTCCTATAGAAATTTTACTCACTGTATTACAGTACAAAATTTGACTTTCAAGCAACATTTATAAAATTATTTAAATATCACATGGATTGTCGTTTCCCTAAAAAGGAAGCGACGAAGTACACGGAGATCGACCCAGTTGATTTGGAAGCGGCAGAAGCTATCCTGAAGGAAAGAACAGCGACCAAGCCCGTGGAAGAAGAATCGGAACACGAAAAGGACGATGCGAAGAAACGAAAATCGACGAAACGGATCAGGACTCGATACAGACCGCCGACGAAAGCCATTCTTAAGAGTAGAGAAACGATCGAAGAGAAAGCGAAGGACGACGACGATGTAGATTCCCGTAGGAGGAGGGATTCCAGGGGCCGCGGGAAGAAAATACTGAAGAAGACCTGCCCCCCCACCGTAGTCTGCAAGCCGGAAATTTGTTGCTTGGATTTAGAAGGTAAGACCTGATCAACAGTCGACGTGAAATTCGTCTATTCAAATTCATTCATTCATTCGAAGATTTATCTTTGAGCTTCTCTTGAAAGCATCATAACCAGACTGCGGATTTTATGCATTTATAAGAAAAAGTGAATATGCAGAAATTATAAGTACTGCACAAGTGTATAATAGCACTCAGAGTATTGAAAGCCGAATGCATATTTCGATATTTAAACGATAAACGAGATGTGTATCTGAAGCAGATTTATTTAAACAGCTACCATAAGTGTTCTATTTTGCATAAAAATCCGTAGTCTAACTTTTCTTAAAACGTTTGCCTTTCAAGTGCCGATATTTCTCTTAATGAACGCATGTGCTAATTATCGTAATTAATGCAAAATAGTAAGATGGCGTACAGATTACGAAACGGTTTCACGCGAATGAATTTTAATTTCCCGGTGTCGCGATTCGCAAAGAGTTCGCGAAGTGAAGTCGGCGGGATCTACTCAAAGAGCGGCGAACCGCGGCGTGGCGCGTCGCGACGGAAACTCCTTTACAATTGCCTCGGAGCTACTCAATAATTTCCGGGGAATTTCATTTCACGCTTCCCCGGTACCGAGTGAAATTTTCCGAAAGTTTCCTCGCGCGGTAGTTGTCGCCGGGACTGTACGCCACTTGTAAATTCTACAATCGCGGCCAAAGGCAACTGCAAACAAGGTGTACGCTGTGCGGTATCAGGGCTGTTCTCCGCCGACGAATTAATTCCGTCTATCCCGGGAGCGTTTCCGGTAGCTACCACGGCGATCACCGAGTCGCCTTCGCCGCCGGAGCGTCACGGCGAGTTCTCCGTTGGTTACAATTAACTCGGAATAACGCGTCGGAAGTCGGTTAAACGATCGCTCGGAAGTTAATAGAAGTAACGAGCCGCTATCCTTTACCGTAACTAGTGGCTCCGCGAGTAACTTGAACAGCAACGAGCGAAATAAATCTCAAATTTAATGTTTTATTTGCGAATTGAAAATTAGCAAATCCTCTCAAGTAGTTTTCTTCATTCGACGTTATGTTTAAGGTTGTATGAATCGTTACATAAAAACTTTACATAGGAATTTTAACAGTTACTAGATATTAC